AGTTTACTAGAAAATTCCTGCCCACTATCCTCCTGCTGACTGTCAGGCACTGCCTGGCAACTGGAGGCCTACAAGGAATCACATGACAAGGGAACACTTTGGATATCTCCACCCCCCCACTCTTCCCACTTCCAGGATTTAGTAAGCTCTCAGGGGTCTCAGCAGGCTGATTTCCCCCTTCTACTCACTCCTCTGTCTTCCCTACTATAAATGCTTGGTACAATACAGTATGGGAAATTTTAAGAGCTGAACAAATGTTAAAGTGGCACAAATCCCTTATATAAGTAACTATACTGGGGGGGAAATGATCCTCTTTTTATCATCTGTTGACTCAAACAAGAAATTTGAGATGTGTCCTGAAAGAAGAAGAGGAAGAGGAGAAGATTGGATTTATACCCCTCCCTTCACACCGATTCTCAGAGCAGTTTACAAACTCCTTTCCCTTCCCCTCCCCACAACAGAAACCCTGTAAGGTAGGTGAGGCTGAAAGAGCTCTTTTTCAAGAACAGCTCTTACAGAACTATGGCTTGCCCAAGGTCATCCGGCAGGTGCAAGTGGAGGAGTGAGGAATCAAACCCGGTTCTCCCAGATTAGAGTCCGCGCACTTAATCACGACACCAAATTGGCTTTCAGTGACAGTTATGTACAACCCCAAATGGACAGTCTGTCAACATTCAGACTGAAACTTCCATAGGGTCCAGATCTGATGCAACTCCATCAAGTGCTCTGTTCAAGGGAGCTTCAAAGTAAGGAAGGAACATGATCAGGGTGTCTGTCTGTGTGTGTGTGTGTGTGTGTGTATAAACCACAGCCATGCGCTAGAGAGAAGAAATGCGGAGGTGGTGAAAAATGCCATTCAAGTCGCAACAGACGTATGGTGATCTCATGGGGTTTCCAAGGCAAGAGATGTTCAGAGGTGGTTTCCCATCGTCTGCCTCTGCATGGCGACCCTGGACTCCACTGGTGGCCTCCCATCCACGTACTAACAAAGTCTGATCCCGTTACGCTTCCGAGATCTGACGAGATCAGGCTAGCCCGGGCCACCCAGGTCAAGGAAAGAGACGAGCAGAGGTGGTTTGCCATTGCCTGCCTCTGCACAGCAACCGTGGACTTCCTCGGTGCTCTCCCATCCAAGTACTAACCGGGGCCGACCCTGCTCAGCTTCTGAGATCTGATGAGATCGGGCTAGCTTGAGCCACCCAGGTCAAGGAAAGAGACGAGCAGAGGTGGTTTGCCATTGCCTGCCTCTGCACAGCAACCGTGGACTTCCTCGGTGCTCTCCCATCCAAGTACTAACCGGGGCCGACCCTGCTCAGCTTCTGAGATCTGATGAGATCGGGCTAGCTTGAGCCACCCAGGTCAAGGAAAGAGACGAGCAGAGGTGGTTTGCCATTGCCTGCCTCTGCACAGCAACCGTGGACTTCCTCGGTGCTCTCCCATCCAAGTACTAACCGGGGCCGACCCTGCTCAGCTTCTGAGATCTGATGAGATCGGGCTAGCTTGAGCCACCCAGGTCAAGGAAAGAGACGAGCAGAGGTGGTTTGCCATTGCCTGCCTCTGCACAGCAACCGTGGACTTCCTCGGTGCTCTCCCATCCAAGTACTAACCGGGGCCGACCCTGCTCAGCTTCTGAGATCTGATGAGATCGGGCTAGCTTGAGCCACCCAGGTCAAGGAAAGAGACGAGCAGAGGTGGTTTGCCATTGCCTGCCTCTGCACAGCAACCGTGGACTTCCTCGGTGCTCTCCCATCCAAGTACTAACCGGGGCCGACCCTGCTCAGCTTCTGAGATCTGATGAGATCGGGCTAGCTTGAGCCACCCAGGTCAAGGAAAGAGACGAGCAGAGGTGGTTTGCCATTGCCTGCCTCTGCACAGCAACCGTGGACTTCCTTGGTGGTCTTCCCTCCAAGTACTAACTGAGGCTGACCCTGCTTAGATTCCAAGATCTGTAAGAGATCGGTCTAGCCTGGGCCATCCAGTTCAGGGCAGAAGACATACAGAGGTGGTTTCCCATTGCCTGCCTCTGCACAGCAACCGTGGACTTCCTCGGTGGTCCCCCATCCAAGTACTCACCAGGGCTGACCCTGCTTAGCTTCCGAGATCTGATGAGGTTGGGCTAGCCTGAGCCACCCAGGTCAAGGAAAGAGACAAGCAGAGGTGGTTTGCCATTGCTTGCTTCTGCACAGCAACCGTGGACTTCCTTGGTGGTCTCCCATCCAAGTACTCACCAGGGCCGACCCTGCTTAGCTTCTGAGATCTGACACGATCAAGCAAGCCTGAGCCACTCAGGTCAAGTCAGGTCAAGCGTGCCCCCTTTCAAATACCATGGCTGCTCTTTTAAATTCTTTTAAAATTAAATGGTCTCTACTTTTTTTTCGATACAGCAGACACAACAGCGGCAAACCACAAGCATGGCATACTTGCAAAGACGGAACACACACCCCCACACACAGAGGAGGAAAATATTAGATCATGGGGTGTGTGCGCATGTGGAAGGGGAAGCGAACCAAATTAGGCACCGGCTGAACGCAAGCACATCATTACAACATCCCTTCGCCTTCCTCCGATGCAACACAATTACATAACACACCAAGTCCAACATTTCCACCACGTAAATCCAGACAGAACGACAGACCGGCTTGGGAGTTCTTCTGCCACACAACAGAGCTGTGCATTGTCTATGCAGATAATGCCCGAGTCCGTTCAATGTGGGTCAATAGGAGGAATGCGGCGACTGGCAGAACCCGTCTCTCTTTGAGACCCTGCTGGATTTAGGAAGGATAGGTTGCGGGGTGGAGGTCACATGACACCCTCTAAGCAAACACAGGAATAAGGGGTAAGATTTGCAAGCCACCTTGGTAGGGTTTGACAACAAACCATGTCATAGATTTTTAGGGAACGTCTGCAGCAGCAGAACAAAGTTTTGAGTCCGGCGGCACCTTTAAGACCAACAAAGTTTAATTCTGGGTATAAACTTTAATGTGCATGCCCACTTCATCAGATACCAAGTGGACATGCACACGAAAGCTTATACCCAGAATTAAACTTTGTTGGTCTTAAAGGTGCCACTGGGCTCAAAACTTTGTTCTATTGAAAAAAATACATATACCCATGGTCCAGAAAATATAATTGGTATAGTGTAGAGGTTAACAGAACAACAAGCTATGAGCTGCGACGTCCCCGATCCCAATCTGACCTCTGCCACAAACTCACTAAAAGGCCTTAGGTGAGCCACTTTCTCTCTGCTTCTGCCTCATCGTCTGCAACACAGGGACAACGATACTAACCTGCTTCACGGGACAGTTGCAAAGATACTGTTGTGCAGCTAACGAAATACCAGCAGTGCTCATCTCCAGCGAACGGGGCGTTCCGTCAACGCGAGGGTCGCTGTGCAAACGGTAGCCCAGCCCACAATCCGATCCTTGCACAGTCGTGAGCGCTTACCATGGCTCGCTCTAAAATGCCATTTGTTAACTGCATTATCACGCTAAAAATTAATACCGACATTCAAGGGCTCGCGCTATGCCATGCAAAAGTGGCAACATCTCTTTGGCTACAACAGGGGTGTATAATGAGACTGAGAGAAAGTGCAAGGTCATCCATATGTGCATGGGACGATTGTCCCAGATCCCAAGTACCTGCGGTGACACTAGCTCCAGAGTCCAGGAAGAACACAATATACGACTGTCATTTATAACAACTATAATCAGAAGTCCTTTTCTTATCTAGAAAAGCTGCTTCCGCTTTTATAAGCGCAGGATTGCGTGTTTACCAGTATTAAGCTCAGATTTCATTTCAAAATGGTTTCAGAGGGTAGTCATGTCAGCCTGCAGGAAAACAGCTAGATTTGTTTATTTATTTTATTTATTTTATTTCACTTATACCCCGCCCTCCCCGCAAGCGGGCTCAGGGCGGCTTACATAGGCACAACTGTGCAATAAAATACAACAGGATTAAAACAGTTACGGCACCAAGTGCAATAAAAATAGGACAAGTTAAAACAATTAAAACAAAAACTCGCATCTTGCAGGATACATTAGGAACTAAGATACTCACTCCCTATTGTATATCGCGGTGGGATCAAAGAGGGGGGATGCCATGGGCCTAGATGTTCCAGGTGGCCAGTCGGCCCAACCCGGCAGTCCTGCGCAGTTACTTGGTGGTGGTGGTGGCAGCGCTCGCTCCTACTCTAAAGCCTGGCGGAAGAGCTCCGTCTTGCAGGCCAGTAGCTCCTTAGAGACTGACAAGATTTTCGGGATATGAGTTTTCGAGAACTAAAGCTCCCTTCGTCGGACATCTGACAAAGCTTTAGACTCTCGAAAACTCATACCCCGAAAATCTCATTTGTCTCTAATGTGCTACTGGACTTGAAACTAGCAATTCTAGTGTCCTTTTTTTTTTTAAACGAGACATGCTGTTAATAGACTTCAAAATTTTTTAAAAATTCAGATATAAAAACACACCAGCAACTTTTATCCACCCTAATTCCATTTTTCCAGTGTTTTTAAAATTCAGGTCGCGTTTGAAAAAACGTGCAATGCAGTTTCAGACCAGCCGAATGAAGTACTAGGGGCAGCTAAACGCTGATATTAGATACGCTTTCGGTGCCAGGATGCAACTGGTTCAAATACACAAGAACACGAGTATCAAACGTACTAAGCAGACCCAGTTCAAGGAGAAAGGAAACCCGTTCTAAACTGACAAACGGAGCTTTAACTCTCAGAAGCTCATACCCTGCAAATTTTGTCGGTCTCTCAGGGGCCGCTGGACTCGAATCGAGCTCTCTTACGACAGACCAACATGGCTACCCTCCCGAAAACCTTTCCCCCCCAGCTTCTAAACCAACCACCCCCCAACAACTCTAGACAATCAAACTTCAATCACAGCCAATGGACAAGAAGAGCCGAGAACCAAACAGCCAGCCTCTCTCGCGCTTCCACCAGAATTCCTGCAGCAGCCTCCGTCGCACCGGCCTCAGTAAAGATCGGAGTGCAACTTACATGAAATTGGGCATCTGAGCGGAGATGGACATCTGTAAAGCTACTCTTTTACAGGAAAAGAAAGAGATTCTGAAAAGCCCAGAGAGAAGCACACAGAAACAGTAGCAGGCAAAGAGAGAGCGCCACTAACCCCGGGAGTCCCACTGGCCGCAAGAAGACAGCTGCCGCTGCAACACGGGAAATTAATACGGGCAGCCAGAACCCTGACGAAGCAAAGGGGCCGGAATGACAGACGCATCTGCTCCGCACATGGGGGGTAGGCCAGCCGACTGGACAGGAGCCCAAAGTGGGCTTTTCCTTTTTAGTATTCGGCTTGTTGTTGGTATTGTCGAGAGGCCCTCTGTATTTGGCCACCTGGGAAACGCTGCACTAACCCCCCCCCCAAAAAAATAAGGGTTGGTTTTTGCACGCGGAATTGTTCCCCCCACTCCCCAGCATGCAAATGGGCTGGTCAAGAGTTCAGAACACGCCAGACCCAATCATTCCTTACTTTTACAGGCCGTCCTCCATCCAGGGGACTCTGTTGCAATGAGCTGGAAGACGCTCGGCCACGTCTTCTGCAGAATCAGAACTGCGCCTGTATTTTTTTAAGTTTCCAAAAATGGGCGTCTGAGGAGGGAGGAAAGGGGGCGCCTGGGATGTGCAAGATGGTGGGGGAGTATACCAAGAAAGGCAGGGTTCTCGGCAAATGGTGTTACAGACATAGGGACGCAGAGGCGATTTGTCAAACTCTCCCCTCGTTTGAAAAACGAAGTTGGCGTGCAGGATAATCAGAGCAGCTCGATTCGAATCCGGTAGCAGCACAGAGACCAAGAAGAGTCCTACGCTTTGAGTTCTTGAGAGTCACCGCTCTCTTTGTCAGATCTGACAGAGGGAGCTTTGATTCTTGAAACTCCGTACCCCGAAAATCTCATTGCTCTCTAAGCTCTCACTGGACTTGAATTCAGCCGTTCTAACACAGACCAGGGCTATTTTGGGGCAGGAACGCACAGGAACGGAGTTCCGGCTGGCTCCCGAGTTGGCCACGCCCAGCAGGAGCTCATTAGCATAACAGGCCACACCCAACAGCAGGAACTCATTAGGATTGGCCACATTAGGGGTGTGTGGCCTAACATGCAACGGAGTTCCTGCTACAAAAAAGGGCCATGGGTTTTGACAACAAACAAGGTCAACAGAATAAGAAGGGAAAGGTGGGTGTGGCTGGATGAGCACACTTCTGGTAACATGGGGGTGTGGCCTAATGTGCTAATGAGCTGTGCTGTCAGGGAGGGGCCTAATATGCTAATGAGTTTTGCTATTGGGTGTGGCCTATTATGCTAATGAGTTCCTGCTGGGCTTTGTCTACAAAAAGAGCCCTGCCGCAGACCAATATGGCTCCCCTCTGAAAAGATAATTAGGGGCTGTCATGATCAGCAGCGCCTTGTTTTCATCTCCATATTCAATAATTAATACAAATCACTATGGACCGGCAGCCAAGGATGTGACTCGGCTACTTTTAATCAATACAAAACGCCTCGGCCTTTGCGAGTTACGGCCGCGCGCGGCTCTTCTCTTGTTCCGTTTCCTCTTCCCGCTTCCTTCTCCGGCATGCAAACCCATCTCTGGATACACTGCTTTTGGATAGCAGATGAGGCTTACACGACAGAATGAGTCTCCTTTACAAAAATAATAATCCTTGCATGTAGAAAACTAGCAGATCAAGGAAGCCAGCCGAGAACTCTCCACCCTGATGGGCTAATTCTCTAGGTACGAGGAAATTTTTGAACAGAGGAACCTGCAGGCTGCTGGCTGCATTCTGAAGTGACGTAATCCCCAGACACAGGTTAACCGGTGTTAGAAGAAGGACTAGGTGTAATCCTGTCTAAACCTATTAAAATACATGGGCCCAGACTGGCATTGGACCATGAATCTCCGCCTTCTGACTTCCCCCTCATTCCTCTGGAGAACTTCCAAACCCTGTCCCTTTGCCAAATCCCCTAAATTCCCGTTTCTCAGAAACCTCCAGCCTTTCTTGCACTACACTCTCTCCCAGCCAATAGCAACCAGAGGCTTCCCAACCTCCCTTACCCCTCTCTGACGTAGGGACACTTCAAGCCAATCACAGCGGGCGGTTTCATTACCAAGCCAATCACAGCGGGCGGTTTCATTACCATAGGGAATCCAATACATGGGTATTATTAGGCGCTCATATTTAGACAGGATTGCAATAAAGTCTTGACGATGCTCGTCTTTGGCCCCCGTGATGCAATAAAGGGATCGGCGGGCCATAATTTGTCAGCTTCGGCATGCAGAGGTTGCGTACAAGAGAGCTTTCCCCCGGGCCTAGGGTGAGGCCGAACGCTCAGGCATGCAAGTCTATTTTTAGCAGGTTTGGGAAGACAGCCTGCTCCACCAGTCGGTGAGAGAAACGCTTTTCCCGACAATGCAAAGCAGAGAGGCTCTTCCACTGAGCCGCGGCCCCTCCCCTAAGGCTGAGCACACACGAAGCTGCCTTATACTGAATCAGGCCACTGGTCAATCAAGGTCAGTCTTGTCTACTCAGACTGGCAGCCGCGAGGTCTTTCACGTCACCTACTGCCTGGTCCTTTTGACTGGAATGCCGGGGATTGAACCTGGGACCTTCTGCATGCCAAGCAGAGGCTCTACCACTGAGCCACGGCCCCTCTTTACAGCTCTCCAGGGTCTCAGGCAGAGAGGTCTTTCCCATCACCTCCTGCCAGGTCCTTTTGACTGGAGATGCCAGAGATTGAACCTGGGACCTTCTGCATGCCAGGCAGAGGCTCTTCCACTGAGCCACAGCCCCTCTTTACAGCTTTCCAGGGTCTCAGGCAGAGATCTTTCCCATCACCTACTACCTGATTTTTTTAACTGGAGATGCCAGGGATTGAACCTGGGACCTTCTGCATGCAATGAAGAGGAAAAGAAGAGAAAAGATTGGATTTATACCCTGCCGTTCACCCGGAGTCTCAGAGCGGCTTACAAAAATCCTTTCCCTTCCCCTCCCCACAACAGACGCCCTGTGAGGACGGTGGGGCTGAGAGAGCTCTGACAGAAACTGCCCTTTCAAGGACAGCTATGACAGAACTAGGGCTTGCCCAAGGTCATCCAGCAGCTGCATGTGGAGGAGTGGGGAATCAAACCCGGTTCTCCCAGATTAGAGTCCGCACACTTAACCACTGCACCAAACTGGGAAGAAGAAGAAGAAGAAGAAGAAGAAGAAGAAGAAGAAGAAGAAGAAGAGGAGGAGGAGGAGGAGGAAGAGGAGGAAGAGGAAGCGGAGGAGGAAGAGGAGGAAGAGGAGGAAGAGGAAGAGGAGGAAGAGGAAGAGGAGGAAGAGGAGGAAGAGGAGGAAGAAGAAGAGGAGGAGGAGGAGGAGGAGGAGGAAGAGGAGGAGGAAGAAGAGGAAGAAGAAGAAGAAGAGGAGGAGGAAAAAGAAGAGGAGGAGGAAGAAGAAGAAGAAGAGTTGGTTTTAGACCCCGCCGTTCACTACCCAAAGGAGTCTCGGAGTGGCTTACAAATCGCCTTCCTTTCCTCTCCCCACAACAGACACCCTGTGAGGCAAGTGGGGCTGAGAGAGCTCAGAGAGAGCTGTGACCGACCCAAAGTCCCCCAGCTGGCTTTATGTGGAGGGGGAATCAAACCTGGTTCTCCAAATTAGAGTCGGCCGTTCCTAACCACTGCACCAAACGGGCTCATAGCACCCACTACCTGGCCTTTTCACTGGAGTCTACCCGATTGAAAGGGAAGCGGCTGGATTGCCTAACGTAGCAAATGCACTATCCTTCATCAATTTTACAAAGGAAAAAGAACGGGTATTTCAAGAGTGGCCCTGGGCTCCCTCGTATTAATCTTACCATCTGGCGACCGTCAATGGCAGCAGATGGACGGGCCTTTGCTAGATCTGTTGCATCCGTTTCTTAGAGAGGAAAACGGGTGGGAGGGAGAGGAGGCACCAGATGTTCCCGGGAATATAGAGGACAGCAGATCCAGCAGAAGAGGGGGAAAGCGTTGAAGGGACCCTAACCGCTTGGCATGCAGTAGGTCCCGGGTTCAGTTCCCGGCATCTCCAGAGGAAGAGGAGGAGATTGGATTTATACCCCGCCCTTCACTCGGAGTCTCAGAATGGCTTACAACCTCCTTCCCTTCCTCTCCCCACCCAGTGAGGTAGGTGGGACCGAGGGAGCTCTTCGAGAACTGCTCTTGAGAGAACAGCTCTGCGAAAACTGTGGCTGACCCAAGGTCACCCAGCAGCTGCATGCAGGAGAGTGGGGAATCAAACCCGGTTCTCCCAGATTAAAGTCCATGCACTTAACCACTGCACCAGACTGGATCACACAGGAAGAAGAAGAAGAGATTGGATTTATACCTCGCCCTTCACTACCCAAAGGTGTCTCAGAGCGGCTTACAAACTCCTTTCCCTTCCCCTCCCCACAACAGACACCCTGTGAGGTAGGCGGGGCCGAGAGAGCTCTTGACAGAAACTGCCCTTTTTCAAGGACAGCTCTGACAGAACAATGGCTTGCCCAAGGTCATCCAGCCAGGTGCAAGTGGAGGAGTGGGGAATCAAACCCGGTTCTCCCAGATTAGAGTCCGCGCACTTAACCACGACACCAAACTGGCTGCCTTATACTGAATCAGACCTTTTCGGTCCATCAAGATAAGGATTGTCTACTCACACCGGCAGCAGCTCTCCAGGGTCTCAGGCAGAGGTCTTTCACATCAGCTACGGCCTGGTCCGTTTTGACTGGAGATGCCGGGGATTGAACCTGGGACCTTCTGCACGCCAAGCAGATGCAGATGACTGGGTGGTGAGCAATGCTCCCTCTAAGCTGTGGAGTCTTGTGAGCAAAAATCCTACTTTGTGAGCTACTGGCATTAAAGTTATGAGCAAATGATTTAGCTAGTGCATAAATTAGTTTGCTCTGGAGCCACCCTTCCTGAGCTAAGATAAAAATCTATGAGATGGAGGCTAAAAAATTGTGAGCTAGCTCACACTAACTGAGCTTAGAGGGAACACTGTGATGTGAAAGGCCTGAAGTGGAAGAAGAAGAAGAGGAGATTGGATTTATACCCCGCCCTTCACTACCCAAAGGTGTCTCAGAGGGGCTTACAAAACTCCTCTCC